ATCCAGGAGAAATATTACTACCACTATTTTTAATAAAAAATTCCAATTCCAGAAAAGTGTATTCAGCTTCAAGTTTCCTGCAATTTGATTCAGATAAAGACTTCGAAACTTGAGGCCATCCATCACAGCAACAGTTTCTACTCTTCCATATTTTGCTGAAGAAATCCATCATAACTTCTTCAATGTCAGCCTGTTCCTCGACCAAATTCCCTTCCTCATTTCTCAGTTGATGAATTACATTCCCCGTTCTTCTTCCATTAGCAAAAGAATGGAAAAACTTTGAATTCATATAATTCTCCTGAATCCATTTCACCTTAGGTCTTTGTCTCCACCATGTGTTTAACTGTGACATTGTCACATTCAATTCATGGGTTTTAGATCTTAACAACCATTCGACTCTTCAAACTAAAGATTAGAGATCTCATTCTTCAATGAATCTTTAAGCTCCATAAAATTTTTAAGTTTTGCTTTGCTCTAATAATGTAGAGCCCTCAAGACCCTTTTGCATTTAACATTAAGAACATTCATTCCATCACCTCCAAACGATTTGTTCCAAGTCCTTAGAACAATTGCTTTTGAAGCCAGGAATGAAGCCCAAACATCTTCATACTTAAGAAATCAGTTTTAATGTATTTTATCATTTAAAAATTTTAGAATTAAAGGGCAACGATCAGATGTAATCCTTGCCAAATGTTTGACCGCAGCGTTATGTACCTCATTGAAAGCTTTAGTGTTCAAAACACATCTATCAAGCCTTTCCAGAATACGAGCATTTCTGGTTTTGTTGTTGCACCAGGTAAATTTTTTCCCCACAAAACCAACATCATGAAGATCATTCCTAGGCATGAAGAATGTAATCTTTTGTGGCCCTTAAGAAAAGGAGAAATTCTTCCGACCCCTCTTTTCTTCTTGTGAAAATATTAAAATCTTCCTCCACAACCAAAGGGATCTCCTTATGAAATTAACTTCTAATTTTTCCCATAACCTCCTTCTCATGTGTAAGTTGCCATACACTATAGAAACCGTCCAAGTTCCTTTATTGAAAATATTTAACTCTCCAATTACACATTGGGGTGAAGCATCCACTAAATAGAATTTAGCCAAATTAGCTTTCCCGAAGACCATATTTCCTCCTGAAGAACTGTCAGAAGGATACAAGAAAAAATCCCAATATTGACCCAAAAATTTATTAAATTTATATCTCTCAAAAGAAGAGATTTTTTTTCTACCACACCAACAAAAAACACATCATAATTTTTCACAAATTCTCTTAAATAAAGGGAAGCTTCCCTCTTGTTAGCCCCCCTATAATTCCAAAAAGCTAAGGAAGTCATTTGGATAAAGAGGGGGAAGGACCCCCACTTCTCCCTTTAATCAATACCTTAGATTTTTCGGTTCTGGTTGAAATGCTAAAGGGAGGCCAAGATGCTTTAGTTCTTTCAGGAGTTTCGGTTCTTGAGATCCAGGAAAAGCCTTTTTCAAGCAAGTAATTCCCTTGTCTTTGGGAACATCTTCAATCTTGTTATCATTTTTTATAGGAGCCACAACCCCTTCATTAATGATATCATCATTTTTACAAATTTCTCCTTCTCCTGCTCCAGTTCAGACAAGATAATTAATTCAGTTTTTTCTACTAAACTATCTTTTTCAGTCTCTGTCTCCAATAGTTTGAACATGTTTTCTTAAACTGGAAACATCTCGATATTTCAAGCAGAATTCCTAACAAATTTAGATATAGAGCTCGTTGTGAAATCTTAAAAATCCCCAACATCATTCTCCGTAATATTTTGAGTTCTATCTTTAATTATTGCAATTGCAATCTCATCAATAGTTTCTTCTCCTAGCAGTAAACCTGAAACAGTCACATGTTCTTCAAGAATTTTATTAGCAACCAATCCATCCTTTAGCTCTTTTTTCACCTCTACATTCTTTTCCTGATAAATAACATTTACCCTCCTCCTTTTATTTCACATGAACCCATGATCCATACACTATTTCTTTCTTAGGATCACTCAACAATGATAATCCTAAAACTCCTTTAGAAACAGGATATAATAGTTATTATTTAAAACATCCTTTGCATTAAAAACATTGCTCATGTGACCTATCATTCCACACTTGTAGCAAAAGGTTGAGATTTTTTCATACTCAACTTTCTAGAAGAAACATTCATCAAGCCTATCCTCCCAAACACCAATAGGCAATTATTTATCTAGTTCCAAAGGAATGCAAACTCTTGCAAACCCCTTCTTCCCCATTGGAACATATCACCGTCGATTAATATAGGATTACCAATTAATGAAGCAATCCTGGCAACATTAATTTTGTCCAAACAATAAAGTGGAAGATTCAGCAATCTTACCCTTATAGAAGATGCATAGCCCCTTTAGAGATGTAGTTGAAAATTTTGGATTCCATTTGTAAAGCCCAGTAATATGTCCTTTTATGAACCATGAACCTTTTGAAATAACCTTTTCCATAGAATCTTGTGAGAAGAAAGAACAAAGCATCCTCCACTATAAGCCAAGAATAGACAGATGAAATTTCTTGAATTGAGACCATTGACGTCTCAATTCCATAGCTATTATCTGGACTGAGATTGCATTACCAAATACCTTCACTATAATGGATTTTTGGAGTTTCTTAGTATTCTTAATCATCTTTGGTTCAAACAACTTAATTTCCTTGATAACATCTGATAAGAATGATTCTCCCTTTGGCAAATTCAACTTGATATAAGGACTTTTTGTCCATGGATTATGTCCAGTTTTAACAGGATTAGAAATCAATCCTTCACTATTCGTTTGGATATTCTCATGAACATCAGATGTGCTTGCGCCCATATTCTGAAATGAAGGGTCTCCCTTTGATAAATTGGCATTATTTCAAAACTTGTTAACAAAGATCTTCATACAAGATGATGAGGAATCGATGTCATTTGATTTAAACTTCACAATTGAGGAAGGAGTCTCCACAATTAAATCTGTTGCCACTTGCTTGCCTTTACCACTTAGTGGAGATGATGCTTTCATTAGATCTACAGCAGGTTCTTTGATAACCAAAGGTTCATTGATATGAAATTTGGGATTACCTACATAATCAAAAAAAGGCTAATGTTCCTACAACATTTATTTACAACAATTCATGCCGTCCATAGTCTGTCCATCTAAGGTGGTAGCCGCCTGGCAAAACATGTCCTCTTGCAAAGCCTTCAATCAAATAGGAAATCAAATTTTTGAAACTTTCTCGCTATAGAAAATGGCTCCCTCCTTAGAGCCAGCATAAGCCATCACCCCAGAGCTAAGTGAATCTCCTAATGAGGATGACTCGATAAAGAAGTTCACTATTGTTAAGGGAAGATTTTTCTGCCTCGGATGGCTAAAAATACAAAACAAAAAAATAAAAACATCATTACCTAGGAGAATGATCCTACCCCTCCCACTCAAGATCAATCTAAAGAGAAAGGGAAAGGCCCTCTACTAGAGTTTGTCTATAATGTGTTGGCTTATCCAATAAAAATTTCTTCTCTTCTTAGCATTTATGACGCTTTAATGTTATCTCCAAACTTGAGAGAGACATTGGCGAAAGTCCTACTCTAAGTATAGTCCAATTTTGTCAGGGATGAACGCCATTTGAGAGAGATGTCATGCATTACCTTTTAACATCTTGACCTTCTTTTAGGGACTTCTATACACAATTGTCCCTTATATGTCACTATTAAAGTCAATAGTTTTGCGTCGAATAGGGTCTTCATCAACCAAAGGGCTTCAGTAAACATCCTTACCTATAAAACTTTAAAGGGCCTGTCCCTAGGTCACTTAAAGTTCACTTCTAATAAGATCATGTTGAAAAGATTCAATGATCAAGGCCAATGCTCTAGAGACTATTAGCCTGCCTCTGAAGTTTGAAAGATTCCTAACTGAGGTAAAAATTTATGTAATTCAAGCCGATACTTCATACCGAGCTCTCTTAGGAAGGCCTTGGCTCCATGAGTATGGAATGGTGCCCTCCAGTCTGCACCAATGTATAAAGTATATGAGGAATGATGTTGACTATTCCATTCCTGGAGATACCTAGCCTTTATTTGTGCACTAGATATCTGTTTAAAATGAAGCCAAATATTATATACCGTGGAAGACTTATAGACCTCCACCGGCCCAGTCACTAGTGACACTTGCTAGTGTTATATAGGATCCTATGTAGTCACCTACCAAGGGTCATATATAATTGTTAGTACATAGTCCATCACAGGTTAGTATTGAGGTAGGTGTTTCTACTATAAACTCTAATAGATTCCCTTCTAATTTACAGTTAGGCATGATATCCCCCCTATTAGAGGTAGGAAAGGATGAGGAAAAGGTAGGGGTAAAGAGTTGACCCATAAACCGTGAAACTGTGACACTCCGACTCCTCCTCCCCTGCACCTTTACAATTCTTCTTTGACTGTGGAGTCCAACCCTTCAGATGATGAGATGATCAATATCCTTCATCATTCAGTCCCCTCATCACCTCCAAATTTTACTTGTTATGATTTACTTCCTACCTTTCATATATACTTGATAACCGAGGGTGGATTAGTTATTGATAGGGGCTCTGAATTCTATTGGTTATAATTTACTTCCTACCACTAATAATAATAGTTGATGATTCCCATCAAAGACCCTTTGACACTCCCTCCACTAGTGGCAATACTTCACTATAGACTAGTGAGCACCCAATACCCCCACTGTATGAGATATTTGGACTAGCGCAGTCTATGGAGTGTGCCTCTTTATCTAATAGTATAAGTGCCCCACTAGGTCCTAGGAGTTAGGGTCTGGAGGAGACCAATATGGATATAGAGATTACGAGTGTCCCTCAAAATAGATTTAGATGGGCAAGAAGTCTCGTGAGCCGCTAGAGAGAGAAAGTCTCGTGAGCCGCTAGAGAGATAAACATCCATTTTTTTAATTTTTTTCAAATTCACAGTTTTTTACGACCTTCATTGCCGGCAATTGGCGATGACGGTGGATGGTCGCCGACCTCCAGTCGGTGAGCTAAACATTTCTAGAGGCTCAGAAGGTCAAATGGGAAATGAAGATGACCAATGACGGACTTTTTCTCATTCTGAAATAGTTCATGGACATCACAGATCGACAGTAAAACCTTTGGTTATCAGAGACGTTACTGACACTCTTGTCAAGAAGGTTGTTGATTTTATGGAAGGTAAGGGTAAACGTATCTTGGTTAATTCCGATTGCATTACCCCAAGGATTGAGAAGTCTCGTTCAAGTTTGAAACCAAATGATGTTGAAGCTTCCTCATTATAATTGAAATTTTTGTTAATAAATTTTGATGTTCAATTGCAATCTCTGACCTATGGCCAGCGATAAATGTGAATATCTCAAATGAAATTAATATGAATTCTCATTCTGTGGATAAGCTATCTTCGGTTCCCTGTTCAGACTTACCAATTAAACCTGCTTTACAATCTGGAATTGATGGGAATTCTTCAAAGATCAATACAGCTAAGAATGCGGAGATTGGTTCTAAAGTTACTTCTGGTAATGCTTAGATGAGGACCCAACACATCAAGCTTAATTATGATATGGATTCTACCCCCATTACTGAAGACGGGATTGATGTTGTTATGATCTCTGATTTATAAATTGTTAATTCTCAAATCCTGAGAAATTCTCTGGTTATTAAAGTTTTGGGTAGTAATATCCCTTTCCCAGTTTGCAGTAGAGAACTTCAGAAGCAATGGTCTAGATTTGGAAATTTTCACCTTACAACCTTTGGTCTTGACTGGATTCTCTATTCCTTTACAAAGCCGGAAGCAGTTGAAGAAATCCTAGAAGGAGGACCTTGGTTTATAGGAGGCAATATCATTGAGTTGGATAGATGGTACCCCAATGTTTCACCTGAATCACTCAAAGGACTTACAGCTCCTATTTGGATTCGTATGCCTAACCTTCCATTGCACTGTTGGGATGAGCAAAACATTTATAGAATTGCTTCCAAGATTGGTACTCTAATTTATCTTGATGGAAATTCATTTAAATGGGGAAAAAGGGAATATGCCCATGTTTGTAGTTGTTTAAACTTGGATAAGAAAGTTCCTAATTCAGTTTGGATAGAAGGAATGCATGGTAGATCCTTCCAAAAAGTAGTATATGAGAAGATTTCTTCTCTATGCTATCATTGTGGCAAATTGGGTCATTTAAAGAACCAATGTTCTTTAATCAATAATTCTACTTCAAAAACTGCTGCTCCAAATTCTAATTTTATTGAGAAGAATATAAATCAAGGAGAAGATAATGCCAATGACCAAGATGAACCCTACCTTGGATACAGGTCAAGTTCAGGAAAAATAGGGCTGCGGGAAAAACAGCTTAAACAGACAACTGTTTCTCAAATCTACCTTCCAATACAAGCAAATCTGATCATAGAAGAAGGAGAGATTATTGAACAAAATGCTTCTCAAGTATTAGAATCTAAAGCCATCTATTCCACATGGGAGAACAAAAATAAAGAAGTAATGCTGAAAAACAGTTTCAGAATTTGTGAAGAGGAAGTGCAGAATTTTTGTTTTGAAGGCTCAAAGGGAAATGGATGTTCTACAGAGTTGGTTAAAACAAATTCTGATAAAGAAGTTTTGAAGGATCCGGCTAATTCCATTTCTATTATGACAACATAAGATATTAAAATAAATAAAGAATGCAAGGGGAAAGAAGATTATCCCAAAAACAACAATGAGGTTGAATTCTTGGAGAAGGCTGTTTCTCCTACAATAAGACATCAATGGGAAGGGTTGCTTGCGAACTCTTGTAAATCCCGAGGGATTACTTGCAAACTCAAGTATACCCTTTCATAAATCTGACTTCAAACTTCAGAAGGAGCTGAAATCCTTGGGAAAGGATAATATTATTTCTCGTGGTAGAAAAGGAGGTGGATCCGTTAAAGTTAGGAAAGGGAGTAATCCCTATTCTTATCAATCATGTCTTCCTTAATTTTTTGGAATTGTAGGGGGACTATAAAAAAGGAAGCCTCCCACTACTTGAAAGAATATATTAAAGATATTTATTTCATCTTTGTTAGGTTATCTGAAACAAAGATATCCTCCTTTGATAGAAAGGATTGTGATAAATTCATAGGAACGCGTTGGGATTTTTATTTATTTCGTGCAGAAGGGCTATCAGATGGACTTATGGTTTGTTGGAGGAAGGATCTTGCTTCTTTCTCTACCTTGGTGACATCTTCTCAAGCCATTGTAGGAAAATTAAACATATCTAATAAAGGGATTTGGCTTATAACATCAATATATGGAAGTAATGATTTATATAAAAGGAAGAGATTATGGAACACTCTTGAAGGCATTTCCAATTATTATTTGCCCATAATCATAGGAGGTGACTTCAACTGCCTTTTATCCCAAAAGGACAAGCAAGGAGGAAAAAAATTCAAATTCTCCCAAGGTGTTCAAGATTTGAGTAATTTTATAAGTTCAAGCGATTTTCATGAATTAAAATTCATTGGACCAAGGTAACTTAGTGTAACAACAAGACAGGGGGAGCAAGGATTATGGAAAGATAGGATAAATGTTTATTCAATTCAGTGGCTTTGCAAACAATTCAAAATCCTGTTATTAAACATCTTCCAAGGGTAGCTTCTGATCACTGCCCAATTTTAGTCAATCTGCTTAGTCCAGCTGCTCGGAAAAATAGGTTTATTTGATATGAAGAAGTGTGGTCTTCTTATGCTGCTTCAACAGGTATTGTCAAAAACTCATCGAGAGAGAGTACGATAGGTGATCCAGCTATCTCTTTGAATAAGAAATTTAGAAGAGTTTTAAAAGCTCTCTATTACTGGAGTAAAAACAAACATCAGGATTTGATGTTGCTGAAAGAAAAAACTGAAGAAGGAAATTTTGGAATGCAGTTTGAAGAAGCAGAATCAGGTGGCTTGCCCGAAGATATGTTATAGTTGCTGAAATCTAAAGTCCATGAATTTAATATTACCTTATCACGGCTGAACATGTGGTGGAGGCAAAGAGAAAAAACAAAATGGTTTGTGGATGGTGATTCTAACACTAAGTTTTTCCAAACTTATACATCAGATAGGTGGAATACTAACTGGATTCATCAGATAAAAGGTGAAGATGGGGGAATAACTGTTAATCATAACGAAATTGAAAACATCTTTTTTAGTTTTTTCAAAAACAAATGGGAGGAGAAGGTTTGTTGTCTATCTGATTGGCCAAAGCCTTTCAATGTGCTTAATGAATTAGATAGACAATTTCTTTTAATGATTTCAAGGAAGAAGAGCTAGAAGATGTGGTTAAACATCTTGATTCCAATATTTCTCCAGGTATTGATGGGATCTCTTATTCCTTCATCAAAACTTTGTCATTAAAAATGATGCTTGGAAGGCTATTCACTCATTTTTTGATATAGGAATTATGAGTCCTAGTTGGAAGGAGAACTTGGTAGTTCTAATTCAAAAAATAGAGAACCCAATTTTACCTTCTAATTTTAGACCTATAAGTCTTTGTTTATCTGTATATAAGTTGGTAGCCAAGATGTTATTGAACAGAATGTTAGTTCTTATTCCAAAACTGATTTCTGAAGATCAAGCGGCTTTTATTAATTGCCGATCTAGTTCTGAACATATTATGTTAACCTAGGAAGTTTGTAACAAATTTAGATTCCCAAAATCTAAAAAAGGCTTATGGCTATTAAAATCGACATTGAATAAGCTTATGACAGTATAGGTTGGTCAACTCTTACACAGGTCTTAAAGAATTTGAGTTTTCCAAATAAGTTTGCTAGCTTCCTTATTTAATGTGTTTCTTATACAAAATTTTCTATTATCATTAATGGTAATAATTCGGATTGGATCTTAGCTAAAAGGGGGTTTAGGCAAGGCTGTCCACTCTCTCCCTTTCTTTTCATATTATGCTCCCAACGTCTTTCTGATGTGGTTATGCAGAATGGAAAGGAATTGGGTATTAAAATAGCTCCTAATGTTAAGAAAATTTCACTTCTATTATATGCTGATAACATAGTTTTATTCTTGGAAGCTAATGGGAGTAGTGTTAAGAAAGATAAAGAAATTTTGGAACATTACTGTAATTGGACCGGTCAAAGAATCAATATTCATAAATCTTCCATTCTTTTTGGAAAGTCAGTTAATAGAAGTAGGAGGAGGAGATTGGCTAAAATCCTGAAATTCAAAGTGGTTCAAGAACTTAAATATCTTGGGATCAATATTGTGTTGAGAAGGACTTCTAGAATGGATTTCTATCATCTACTGGACAAAGCTAATAATTATGTGAATGTTTGGGGAAACAAATACATTTCATTAGCTGGGAAGATTCTTCTTGTCAAATCTGCATTTTCTTCCTTCCCTATCTATCACATTACTCGCTCTTTAGTTCCTTTGGGTATACTCAAGGAACTAGATAGAATGTGTAGACATCTTTTATGGAACAAACATGATGGTAATAAAGGACTACATTATGTTTCTCGGGATGTACTTTGCAGGCCACTTGGTATGAGAGGGAAAGGCATCCATTCTATGGTTTCTAAAGTTGGCCTACTACAAGCAAAGTTTGCATGGAAACTCATTTCCAGTTCATCTTTTATTCTCAATAGAGTCTTGGTTGCTAAGTATGGTAATCAACCTTAGAACATTCAGCTTAAATATCAAAGTTCTCCTACGATCAAAATTATTGTTAATGGATTTCAAGCTCTTAAAGTTATCTTAAGGTGGAAAGTATCTAAGGGAAACAATATCAATATCTTGCAATATGTTTTTATTTTTGACAAACCAATTTCAAAATGGCGTACCTATGTAGCAGATATGGGACAAGATATCCAAAATCTGGATTTATTTATCAATGAAGGAGAATGGGAATTACAAAGGTTTCGGGTGCGAAGGGAAGAGAGAGAAGCTCCAAAATTCAAGGAAGGATTTTGAAAGAGAGTTTGAAGATTTTGGGTACAAAGATTGGAGATGGTAGAAGGGACGGTCATATATGGATGAACGGAACACTAAATCCATTTTATCTACCACGAGTCCAATTATGTTGGATTCTAAAGGTAGATTCTCCTTCAAACGCATCTCCCCTCACAATCTTCGTGTTTTGGAATCTCCTCTTGTTATCAAAGAGGGAGGCTTGTTGGCTAAACATAATCCATTGCTGGATTCAAGTAAAGGGAAAGAGGTACTTTTGGCTTCTTACAAGTTACCTAAATCTTCTTTACCGATTTCTTTTTTTGGAGCAAATGACAAAGAAGTTTCTTCTTCAAGGAGCTATTTTGTTGATATTTTGAAGAATGACAAGGAGATTGACAAGGCTAATGTCAATATCAATAATCCAAATATTTCTTCAAATTTTGATAGTTCTAATGTGTAGACTAAAAAACCACACATTAAAATTAATTGGAATAAAAATCTTGATGAGATTGAAGAGTTAAACATTGTTAAACTGGATATGGATAAGGAAAAATCCAATATTCAAGTTTTGAGTAAATCTTTAGTTGTTAAAATTCTTGGGAAAAATTTAACTCTCTCTAATTGTGCCATTGAGTTGAGAAAGCAATGGAAGAAATTTGGAGGATTCCATTTAACCATTCTTGGCCTAGATTGGTTACTTTGTTCATTTCAATCTCATGAAACCATGGAAGAAGTCCTTAATGGAGGTCCATGGTTTGTAGGGGGCTTTGCAGTTGGGTTAGACAAATGGTCTCCTAACTTCTCTCCTAATTCATTGGAAGGTATTTCATCTCCGATATGGGTTCATCTTCCTCACTTACCCCTTCATTGTTGGGATGAGTCCAATATCACTAGAATTTTCTCTAGAATTGGGACTCCATTACTATTTGATGCTAATATGTTTAGGTGGGGAAGAAGAGAATTTGCTAGATCCTGCATTCATGTTTACTTGAAATCTAAAATCCCTTCTGGAATATGGGTTGAAGGGTTGCATGGTAGATTTTTTCAAAAGTTTGAATACGAAAATTTTTCATCGCTTTGTTTCAAACGTGGGAGAATAGAGCATATTGATTCACTTTGTCCTAATATAGAGGAAATCCCTTCCATCTCAAATCATAATGATAATCTTTATGGTCCTTGGATGCAAGTTAAATTCAAAAACAAGAAGAAATCAGTGAGAAAACAATTGAAATCCAGAATTTTTTCAGCAGCAGAAAAATTTGAAACAGGTTGTGGAAGTGAAGAAACTGTTCTTGCTAAACTAGATGAAATTGTACAAACATTGGCAGATGGGAACAAGATCAAAATGATGTCTGATCCAGTGGAAGTTGCAGGTCAAATTGAAGAAAATACTGGATTCAAGGAAGGAGATGAAGTGGTTAACTAGAAATTGAAAATCAACATGGATTCTCGGGATTCAATTTTTGAATCTAATTCGTTTAAAGCTATGGCAGATGAGGATAATATGGGTGTTAGTTTGTTAGGAGAAACCAGTGCTGATCATAATTCAAATAATAAGGTAGATGAGATGGCTTTCTCTCCAACTAACTCAGCTCTCATGGAGGCTGAAAAGAAGGATGAAAAGGAGCTGAAGCCGATTTCTTCTCCAACAAATCCAGCTAGCCTTATGCTAGAGGACGGTCTAATTGAAGGAAATAATGAATCTACTGTTATTTTAGAGGATAATTAGAAGGTTGTTGG